GTGGTTGTAATGTGACAAAATATGGAAAAGTTCAAGGGGTATGAATACTTTTGCAAACCACTGTATGTGTGCAATTTGGACAAACTAAAACCAGTTAGTCCTTACATTAAAAGTCTATATATGGCTTTAAATACTAGTTTAAACCCCAATTCCAATGAAGTTGGGTTGGTAAACATAAATACAAACAGAATGCAATGAGTTGCAAATCCTTGTCAAACTATTTTCAATCTAATCCACTACAAAGACAAGATATTTAATGTTCAAACAGATACAATTTATTTATTTATGTTTGCAAATATTCACTCATTCAGAATTTGATGTCTGCAACACATAAAAAACTAGGACAGGAGCATGATCACCACTGTGTTACATCAGCTTTACTTTTAACAACATTCAACAAGTGTTTGGGAACTGAAGACAATAGTTGTTGAAGCTTTTTCCCATTCTTGCTCGATGAACATCAGTTGCTCAATGGTCCGGGTTCTCCATTCTTGTATTTTGTGCATTACAATGCATCACACATTTCCAATGGGAGAAAAGTCTGGACTGCAGGCAGGCCAGTCTAGTCTGTGCACTCTTATACGGCAAAGCCATGCTGTTGTAACAAGTGCAGAATGTAGCATGGCATTGTCTTGCTGAAATAAGCAGGACGTCTCTGAAAAAGACGTGGCTTGGATGGCAGCATACTGTATGTTGCTCCAACCTGTGAGTAGATTTCAGAATAATGGTGCCTTCACAGATGTGCAAGTTACCTAAGCTATGGGCACTAATACACCCCCATACCATCAGAGATGCTGGCTTTTGAACTTTGTGCTGATAACAATCTGGACAGTCCTTTTCCTTTTTGGCCTAGAGGACCTGACATGATTTACAAACACAATTTGAAATGTGGACTCCTCAGACCACAGGACACTTCCACTTTGCTTCAGTCCATCTCAGATGAGCTCAGGTCCAGAGAAGTCGGTGGCATTCCTAGGTGCTGTTGATATATGTCTTTGGCTTGGTGGCGTTTAATTTTATACCAGTAGATGTAGTGATTAAATGTGTTCACTGACAATGGTTTTCTGAAACCTTCATGAGCCCATGTGTTAATATCTGTTACAGAATGATGTTGTTTTTTATTTCAGTGCTGCCTGAGGGGTCAAAGGAGCATTCAGTAATGGTTTTCGAACTGCCCGCTTACTTGCAAAGATTTGTCTAGATCCTCTGAATATTTTGATGACATTATGGACTGTAAAGATTTTACAATCCTGTGTTGAGAAATATTGTTCTTAAACTGTTGGACCATATTCACACGCAGTTGTTCACAAAGTGGTGAAACTCACCCCATCCTTGCTTGTGAATGACTGAGCCTTTCAGGAATGCTCAATTTATACTCATTTATGACACTCACCTGTTTCCAATGAACCTGTTCACCTGTGGAACGTTCCAAACAGTTTTTTCCTCGACTTTCCCAGTCTTGTCTTTGCCACTGTCTTGGTTTTTTTTTTTTTTTTTTTTTTMGAACGTGTTGAAGGCATTACTTTCAAAATGAGTGAATATTTGCAAAAAAAACAACATATTTTATCCATTTGAACATTAAGTCTTTGTAGTGTATTCAATTTGATATAGGTTTAAAAGGATTTGCATATCATCACATTCTGGTTTTATGTTTTACACAACATCCCAATTTCATTGGAATTGTGGTTGTACAATCTTTAAAAATTACAAAATTAAATCTTTGAAAATGCACAATCTTAAGCAGATCAACTGGTGATCAGAGAACATACAGTATAGATAACTTTCATCTACTACCATTTCAAATTTTAGCTCAAGATTAGTAAAATTAACAGATTTTTAGACTGTTTTGTTTACAAATATTGATAGAGCTTAATATTAACAGTTAATGTAATGTGTACATCCAATTGTTTTCTGAGAGTTTCATTAAATGTGTCCACTGGTTTATGAGATAATTTGCTAACAGACAAATGCACACATGTAGACATAATAGCATGATTGCTATTACTTTTATGGTAGTGGGTGATGACAGTTCTGGAATGCAGAAAAAGGCTTGTGCTGTAGTTGCTTAAAAGCACATCCAGATCACTGAGATCTGTAAGAAGAAGAGAGTCCATAAGGTGTTCGACAGGAGCTCAGTGTCTCTTCTAGTATCAGGTCTTTCCTATTTTTGGCAGGTTTGAGTCTCTGATGACCCTAAGCTCCTGATGCCTTGCCTTTATCCCACACAGGAGTGCATTTCAGCAGGCATCAGCACAGCCATGCTACCTCCTGCCGACACTTTCACCTGGGCGCCCCCCAGGCGCCCCTCTCGGCAGAGTTCCCTCTTGGACACGCCAGCCAGCCCCCGCAGTCGGGCCTCGCCGCCCACCTGCCCCACGCGCACCACCTGACCCTCGCCACCCTGCCCGCACCCCCACAGTTTCAGGACGTGTCGGGGCCTTCATTCCTACCTCAGGCCTTACACCAGCAATACCTCATCCAGCAGCAGCTCCTTGAAGCACAGCACCGCCGGATTCTGCCACACCCCAGGTAGATATGCTGCTGAAACTCCTGATGTCCTATTCTTTTATGGTTTTTGGTTTGGGTGTGCCAACATTATCAGTGGCACCTATTTGGACAATCCTCTAAAAACCTTTCAGGAGGTTCCTCTGATTATAGTTTTATACAGGATCCTTGGTTCAGACAATCAAACCAAACGGTTTATTGAATTGCAGAAGACCCCAGGAGCGTATTCCCCTGAACTCCCACCGACTGCGTTCAGGTTTTGAGTACTCCACTCCCCTCCATGTCTCTCAGCCAATGACACAGCAGCCGAGGTACCTGGCTGAAGGCACCGACTGGTGAGTCTATAATGTCCAGGATTAACAAGAGTCCTGAAGAGGGGCTGAATTGTCCTGCTCATCCCTCTCTCTACCCCTCTTCAGGGATCTCAGTGTAGACGCAGGCCTCCCTCATCAGTACCAGCTCCAGCAGCTTCCGCAGCACTATCAGCACTACCTGACCTCCCCACGACTGCACCACTTCCCCAGGAACACGTCATCTGCCCAAGTGGTACGTTGCGTTATTGTGTTCTTGTCCAGAACTGTATTGTCACGAGTAACAGTAAATAACACATAAAAGAAAAGAATTAAGCACAACAATATTGAACAAAAATATTTTCTTAGGTGGTGCATGAAATCAGAAATTATCCATATCCTCAGCTGCACTTGTTGGCACTGCAAAGTTTGAATCCTGTGAGGCACGTAACTGCTGTACGCGAGAGTTATGAGGTACATTTATCTTTTAAAGCACACAGTGTATTTCAGCCCAATTCTGTCCCCATTTAACCACCAAACAACTTTGTTCAGGAGCTGTTGCAGCTCGAGGACCGACTGGGGAGTGTCAGCAGAGGAGCTATCCAGACAACTATAGAGAGATTCACCTTTCCACACAAATACAAGAAGGTAGCTCTGATAACAGGAGAGACACGGACACTCGAATAAATGATGTTTGGTGTTTTTCAATTTTCAAACCTTGTTTTTGTCTTGGCGCATTCTGACCTGCCAACAGAGAAAGCCACTGCAGCTAAAGATTGGGGAAGATGAGGAAGAGACAGATGTGGATGAGAAGTGCACCATCTGTTTGTCCATGCTGGAGGATGGAGAAGACGTCAGGTGGGAAATACTTAACAGCTCCAGAATCAATAAAATATCATTAGATTCTTCTTATTTGGTCATTACCATGTAAATGCCTTCAAACTTCAAGGATGAAGTCGACACCTGTAGTGGGCTCATCTTATGTGGCAACAAAGCTACATATTAGAACAATTGATATGAGAAAAATTACAGTTTTCTTTGTTTTCACTGGACTATGTCTTTGCTCAAGGCAGTTGCTAGGCAACTAGTAAATACTTGTAGGGCATTACTAATCATTGCCAAGAAATAATTAAATTCCTAACCCCTAATTTATACTCAAGCTCAAACATAAGTACACCCTCTTTTAATTCTGAGATGTAATGAACAATTATGTGTATTTTTACCAGGTCTAAGGGATACATACAACTTTGGATGGTCAACAACCCATCATTAACAGTATTTATTATCACTATTTATTTAACTAAGTTGACTATTAGGATTTCCAAATTAATTAAGATAGTAAGTAGCAGCTAAACTGACGTTAAACCATACCTGAACAAAACCCAAGACTTGTGGAACCACATCTTTTGGATAGATGTTAAATATCATAGAGATGGTTGGATGTTAATGCACAGTGCCACCGCAGGCAAATCTGAACACATCTCAGTATTAACATCTCATACCAACTGTCAAGCACAGAAGTGGAAGACTGGTTGTTAGGGCTTGTTTAGTAGTCATAGGTAAACATACTGAAGTCACTGAGCTGACTTCAAAATGATCTGAGTGAGGGTGTATTTACTTTTAATGCCACTGTGTTTACATTTTAATTTTTTTATATAGATTCAACACAAAAATCATGTTAATATCCTAAAATACACTGGAAATTAATCCTAAACTACAGGTTTTCACCAGTCTGTGCCCAAACTAGAGCCTCATAAACGTTATGACTCTTTTCTAAAGAAAGTAAAATACCAAAAGTTGAATTATCTACTTCTGCAACTTGAGTGGAAAAACAGACAATTTTTATATTATAATTAACAATTTCAAAGCACCACTGTAAGTATTTCATCCAGACAACGATCCTTTTTCTTAAAACACTGAGCGCATGGACTTGCACATGTTTCAAACCATGTTGGGAAGAGAATTTCAGGGAATAAGAGCTGCACCCTGGGATGAAAACGAGGGTCAGTTTACAGCATATGGAGCCCCAGCTGTCTGACAGGCGCGTGGGAACGATGACTCAACAGAAGTCGTCTCTACATGCCTGATAGGACAAAAGTAACTCCCTGTGGTTTACGAAGTTCTTAATGAGTGTGTAGTTATATGCTCCAGGAGTGCCTGTGAGAATCCACACTGACCCCATGTGTCTCTGTCCCTCCGTCCTGCAGGAGACTGCCCTGCATGCATCTCTTCCACCAGGGCTGTGTTGACCAATGGCTGGCCACGAGCAGGAAGTGTCCAATCTGTCGAGTTGACATCGAAACGCAGCTGAACCCTGACAGCTGATGAGATTCGGCTCCATGTGATTCGCTTTTTATTTGTTCTTTCTCTCTTCCATCCCGGCTTGCCGGCCCTCCCTCTCCCCTCCCTGCCACATCGCCCTCCCCTGGTGGGTGCATTGCCAAATGTCTTCAGACTTCATGTGGCGTCACAACCCTTCTGACTAACGCTTTATTGAGCCAAGCCAGGACTGCACGAGAGGCCTCAGAGGACTCTCTTTATATAGAAGCACATCCCTCGGGAAGCAAATGACACGCAAACACACACATGTACTCATGTACACAGGGTTTACTTGTAGCTTGCTGGTTGTATGTGGGGTGTTGTTGCAGTTGTGGTATTGTACTGTAGGTAACCACAGGCTTGTGTAGCATGTCCTCAAAGCCATGACTTTAAGTCCTAAGAGTGGAAGACGTATAACTCCACAAAAAGCTGGCTACTTTTCTCTCTTTCCTCTCTTTCTATATATAATATATATATACACAATTCAAGTCATGGTCATAAGTCTAAATGAATATTCTGCAACAAAATCAAGTTAAACAGACACTAAATGCTCTGATGCCATGTTTACCTAAAAGATCATTGTGGTCGTAGTAGAGTAGCAGTAACCAATAAGTGATATCTGGTGCATTGTTGCCTTTTTTGGGGGCCAAGTGCCAGTTAGCTGAGTGTTTTGATCCTATCATACAGCTTTGACATTTTGCAATACACTTGTAGTTTTACATTGGGTTGTGAGTAGGTCTCTTTCACTGCCATTGAACCCAATGACTGAGTGGCTTGTGTTTAAACGTTTGGACACTAGATAGAAAGTTTGTTACCAAAATGCATTAATTGCGGCGCAGCTTGAATCTGCATACAGGATTTGTGTGTGAATGTGTGTGTGTGTGACTAAAAGAATGTGTCTAACAAACATGTGGATGTGGAGCAAATTGAATGAGTTCAAGGCAAAGCCTAGACTTAAAGTCAATGAAGGTTAAAGGGATAGTCTGGTCATTTTTGTCACAGAGCATGGAGTATAGAGAAAAGGACAGAAGTCCTGCTCAGGCTAGGCTAATGGCTAGCTAAACATGAGCTTTTTTATCATTTCAATGAAATGAAACTTTTTTCAAAAATGCCATCCTTGTGTGAAAAAATTCTGCATTAGTTAAACCACTACATCAGGGGTATCAAATTCATTTTCTCTGAGGGGCCACATGAGCATTATGGTGGTCCTCAAAGGGCCAGTTGTAATTGACTTCGAAGTTTCTTGTTTAATTTAGACTAAACACAAAACGTCCCATTCCCTGTCTCTTTGGTCCAGCTGAGCACTGCTAACAAACAGTGCTCTATGTGGTGTTATGTGCACTGAAACAGGATTTTAACTTGTCCTCTGACTAATGGTGGAATACATAATAAAAAATACCACTAAAAGTAAAAGCAAGAGAATTTTACTCACTGTTGAGTTGTGGTAAGTTGCAGCCATCTTGAATTCTAAACTCTCTTGCTTTCCAACAGGGAATTCCCACTGGAGGGGGCAGTTCTAGTTTAAATTTACAACTTTAAAGTGGGAAATTCCCACTTCCCAGTACAACTGTTACAAACGTATCTGGTGAAAAATGCAGCAAAATGGAAATATTATATGTTGGCTACTTTTGAACCCTGTGCACCTTCACCTAGTGGTGGGTTGTTGTCATTTCATTGGTAAAATAATCAGCACGTATTGTGGGAGATGTAGTTTATGGTCAATGCTGACTTTCAATCAGTCGATCAAAAAACTTTATTTATCCGCAGAGAGGCAATTAAAAATGAGAAGCATGCACTTATTTGGCCAGGCTAGCATTCTAAATAAGAATTTTATCATAATCTTCTGGCTGATTAAATAAAGGTTAAATAAATACATTTTAAGACATTAATACATCTTTGAAGCTTTCACGAGCTTTTGGCCCACAAACCCAGCCTTTTTCTCTATACTTCTTTGTCTAAGACTGGATTAAAGCATATTAGCTATTAACAACTAATGACCAGACTATCGTTTATCTACTGTGGTCATTGGAGGAGTTATACAACACAAAGCCAAAAAAAGAGTGAGAAAGGGGGCTGTGAAGCTTGGTGGGAGGATTGAGCAGGAGTTAGCAGTTTTCCCCTGGCATTGGGCCAGTGGCAGAACAAAGTCTACTAAAAATGCATGTTTCACTGTTGACTAGAGCTGTCAGCTTTGGTAGCGTTGCTTCAGTTTAAAAATGGTACAGAGATTCCTGTGCATGAATCTGAGCTCTGACTATCGTCTCAACACTAACAATAGCAATCAGTCAGCGGCTGCTCCCCTGACTCGTAGCTTGTGTTACTCCTGTCCTCCTTTGCTGGAAACGATGGGAGCCTCGTGATGTTTACCTTATTGCCTAAAGAGCAAGCACATGTGACAGTAGTTTATAGCAACAAAAAATATGATTTTCTTTCTCCTCCTCGGTATTGCATCAGTTCACATTTAGGCGTAGGTTTATGCAGTGTTTTGAATGGGAGAGAGGAGCTTTTTTTTTTCTTGCGTATTGATCTTGTGTATTCGTGTGACAGGCCTCCCCTCGTGGTTGCTATGCTGGTTGCTATGCTGTATTGCTAGAACATGTAGGACGTGACGCGACGGAGGCAGCCTCCCCTCTTCCAGTGCACACAGACACGAGACGAAGCAACAACGGGAAAACATTTGAGCTGCTGAAGTGACCAGATTCCTTCTCTCACTTGACGCCAAAACTTTCATTTGACCTTTTTTTTTTCTTCCTCCCACTCCAGGCGCTTTGTGTTGCCTTTTAGGACCCCACACTGTCCTATGCACTGTGATAATAAGGGATGAGACCCTTTTTGATTACGTCTCCCTGTCTTGTGCACTGCCAGTGTTGACTCTGCCTCCTCCTGTAGTGGAGTCATCTGTAATGAAGTTGTCATAGTTTACACAGGGTGTTGTCAGTTGAAATGCCTTAAGTATTTAACAATCATAATTTATTAATAACTGTAGATATTGTGGGGATGTATTTAATTTTTTTAATAGTTTTTTTTGGGAGTGACTGGATCATATTTTATTTATTTAGAATTAACAATAGAAATGGTTACAAAAAAATAAACAATTACCTCATGTTTGCATCATTTTGAAATGGGAATGCTTTGCATGCAGTTGTACTTTTTGAACACTAAATGGAAGAAAAAAAACCAACATATTTGCCCTGCTGTTTGTTTCTCCACAAGCTGGCTGTGCGATGTTTACCGTCCAAGACTGAGCTACTGAGCCTGCTCTCTGTCTCTCTCTGTGGTGCTGTGGATCTTAGTTACATTCCATTCAATGCAATCTCTCTGATCCCCCATGCTGTGATGTGGACAAACTGCAATGGAACGAAATGCTCTTTAGTTTGGGAGTTTCTTTTGTTTCCTTGTATTTATTTTATTTGAAATTTTGCACTCACTTGATAAAAAAATCGGAACCCTCTCACTGGCCAAAAAAAAAAAAAAAAAGACAGTACAACTCCAATTCTGAATCAAGTAGGATGCTGTGACAAATTTAAATAAACTCCCATTTTTATTCAAAGTGGAACAATGTTTAAACTAAAAATGCTTTGATATTTTTGGAGAAACGTGAGGTGCTTTGGGTTTTGATGGCAGCAGCACATCATGAAGAAGTTGGGAAGTGGTCAACAAAAATGGGCCAAAATCTGTCTCCATTTCCAGTTCCTGTACTTTTTATTTATTTATTTATTTATTTATTTATTTATTTTTTGGATCCACCCTTGCTGTGGTTCCAGTTTGGAGCGCTCAAAAGATTTTAATTGCAGAAAAGGGCTGCAAGATTGACTGACCAAAGGCAAATACTGTAAATCCCTCCTGAGGCGAGGCACAAAACTTTTAATGTGTTCAAGGAAACAAATATAAAGTTTGAGCTCGAAGGAGCAGTCCAAAACCAGCCGGAATAACAGGTTTCAGACAAACAGGTCGCTGATACGCATTTATGAACAGCGCTGCAACAAATAAATAAATAAATAAATAAATAAATAAATAAATAAATAAATAAATAAATAAATAAATAAATAAATTTTTCTACTGAACAATAAAAAAACACATCATGCGAATATGCCGTTACTATAACCAGACATGAAGTGGTTGAGACTTAACAATGGAGAAGGGGCTAAAATGTCTGTACTGACAAAGGAGTGGGAAAACCCACATAGAAAAATTTGTCTGGCCCAGTTCTGGCCCACACAATGCACTAACACTCAGCCCAGATACCGCAAATTATCATGGCTCTTTGGTGACCCAGATGTGGTGGGCCAGCCCCACATAAACCAAACCACAACTGGGCCAGCTGTCATCTAAAAAAACAGCCCCATCATTGCCAGACCTGGCCCACATCCGTCTGACAAACCACTTGCCGTGCCAGCGGGGCCAGCTTGACACCAGATCTGGCTGACACCTGTCTGATGCGTTGGCAGCCAACCTGTTCTCCACTCACAGTTCCTGAACCTGCCTCTCTGATGGCGTGGGGGTGCAGTAATGTCTCTAGAATGTATCTGGAAATACACCATCAATGCAGAAAAGCATTTAAAGGTTTTATGCTCCTATTTATTTTATGAAAGGCTTTGCAGATTTCCAAAAGGCAACCTGCTAAATGGCAAATTACATTTGTTACAACAGCACGGTTTCATGGTAAAGTCTATGGCCTGCCTGCAGTCCAAAGCTTTTATTCCAACTGAAAACACCTGATGTGATAATCCAGTGATGATGACCCAGGACTGTTGAACAGCTAGAATCTTACATCAGATAAGAATCAAACAACATTCCAGAAACTCCAGCTACTGGTCTACAGGGTAAATACGACACTACCCAAACTTTCTAAAGTTGTGTTGCTGCCGTTAAATTCAAAGCTATCAAAGTTTATTATGTTCCATTGTAAATAAAATACGAGTTTGTGAGATTTGCAAACTGTTGCATCCTGTTTTTGTTTACATTCATGCAACATCCTGTTATTTTTTTTTTCAAAATTGGGATTGTAGTTCTGATGTTTTAACTGTTTTCTCTTCTTTATGCTTTGCTTCTTACAGCGCACTGTGGGTCTTAACGACGTTCCTTTAAGTGACTTTGTGTTTTTGTCTTTGATTTTCATCTGTCCGCTGTTTCTCTTCGGTTCTTTTTCCTAAATAATTTGTGGACATAAAGCATAACAAGTGCCTCGCTTTAGGTGTTAGGAGATATTTCTGTGTTACATCACTTACAAGAATCAATCCTTGACGCCACCATGCCTTGTAGGCTGCGTAATCAAACAAGTGGAACAGAAAGAGCTAAGACAATATTTGACACAGGAAGCCATTTTACTTAAAAAACAAAGGCAATTCAAACCGTCTGAAATAGTATGATTATAAGTCGAGGCTATAAGGAAGCATGGTTTCACTGTGGGTTTTTAAAAGATTTTTCTTCTTTTGGTCATTTTATTTTCCCTTTCTAATTTTTTATTAATTTTTTTCCATTTACTGTTTATTTTCTGTCCTTCATCTTTGAATCAACTCCTCTCACAGTATGAGCGGAAGACAAGGATTATAAAAAGCACAACTTTTTTTCTGAAAAAAAAAATGCATGTTTTCTCAGGTTCCAGTACCGTTGCAGTGGTTTAACAGTGCTTGGTGAAATTATTTACAAAGAATATAAAGGAAAAGTGTAGAATTTTCGTTGCTGCTTGATTAAAAAAAAGAAGAAGAATTAACTGAAAAGGAAAGTTTGCCAAAAAGTGCCAGTGAAAGGGCTGCCACTTTTCCTTGTATGAAATCTCTGCTGTTTAGCTGTGACTGCGCAATGTTTTTTCAATATAGCATATTTTATCTGAAAATAAACCTATTTATCGTTAATATTAAAGCAATAGCGCATTAATGGTGATGAGTGTGTTGATGAAGAAATGAGTGAGCATTTTAGCTGTAAATGTTAGATTCATATTCGGTGGGATTTTGTACTTTATTTATTATTCCTACTAATAATGACATAATGATCTCAAAGTTTGCATTGCTAAACCCAAACTGTTTTGTTTTATTTTGATTCAGTCTCATGGCTTGTATATTATCCTTTTATATGTGCTCTTTTTGTAATAAACTGGATTTAAAAAGGGACACTTTTTGTGTTTTATGCTTGGCCTCGTGTTTCTTTCTCAATCATCACAGCTGAGATGAATATTTTAGGCTTTAAAACTGATTTTGGTTAGATAATATTGTGTGCCTGAAGGTATGTAGCGCTTGTCAATGTGTCAGGAAAGAAAAGCCAATAAATCATTCGGTTAAAAATGTTACAACACTCATGCAGAGTGTAGTTTGTGAATTTCACTAAAGGCTCTGTCACACTAGACAACTTATGCCAACTTATGAAACATTTTTTATACCTAAATTGCTAATAAAAGTCATATTTGCTCAATTTGTTCAAATTACATTATGCACATGCCAAAATAAGCTTCCTGTTGATTTTTTCGATAGTGAACGTCTTTAAAATGTTTATAAGTTGGCATAAGTTGTTTTATATTATGCTATCTTATCTCTTCATTACACTGAATTATTGTTTGCTGCTATGAAAGTTAGGCCGTCATTTTTTGTCTGTGGGTTTTTTTAGTCGTCTGTTAGCAAAATATCTCAAACCACTTAATAGATTTTTTATGAAACTCTCAGGAAGTAATTATTATATATGCATTTACAATTGATCAGTTTTTGGAGTCGACCTGATTTGATATGGCTGCCACAGCTAATCATGCTAACCGTCAATTTTATAGATGCTGAGCTAAAAATATGTGGTGCTAGTTGAGAATCATTCCCATCACATGCATTCAGTTCTACCAAATTTTGTGCAAGATTTTTGCCTAAAACTTTGGCAATAATTGTTAGATTCAGCTCTGTCCATCTGTTAGCAAAATATCACATGAAGAAAAGGATGGAGTTTAGCGAAACTTTCAAAAAGCAGTTACTGGATGTACATCTACAACTCATTAACTTCTGGAGTTGATCTAATTCAAGATGGTCGTCATGGGTAATCAGCCTTAACAATTGAAAAAATTTGTATAACTTAGACATTTTTACAAGTTTAATGTTAGTGTGTTAGTAAATGAAAGTTATCTCTAACACATACTTTAAATAATAATAGATCATTTAAAATCTTTGAGTATAACTTTGGCATGCTAACAATATTCATTTTTTTCCATTTATCAAGGATATAAAGTCAAATGAATGCAGAGAAGTTTCTTTAAATACTGCAAAAAGGAATTTAATTCCTCATAAAAAATAATTTATTATTACAAAATACATACGGCAAACCATTCCTGACATGAATGGCACATTCCTTTTTTCCTGACCATATATACATAATTATTTTTTTTACCATAAATTTAATTGTATTTTAAGAAGTTCTATAAATGCAAAACATTTGCCTCAGTACCTGAGATGTAAAGTTTGCCAGAAGCTGAATCTTTTTGGTCAATATTTGAAACAGCAGATCCTCCTGCAGTCAGCCCTCTCCAGGAATGGTGTCACTGTTAGTATTTTGGGTAGAGGACTCTGACAATCTGCCCATCAGCCTTCTTGGTGTCCAGCCACTTCCCACAGAGAAACATGGTGGTGACGCCGTTGGCTGTGTTGGTGATTTCCACCCGGTCGAGCAGCCAACCGGGGCTGAGGCCTGAGTTGTCGTGCTCCATTCGAACTCTCTGCAGCTCCCCCATGTCCAACATCTCCAGCAGGAAGCGGTCGGTCTGCTCGCGCTCGAACAGGTTGCGAAACCTCTGCCGGAGCTGCCGACGACCCGAATCCCCGTTGGAGCCGAAGATGGTGATGAATACGTTGGCGTCCGTTCCCGCTCCCTTCTCGTCGCCGGTGATGACGATGATCTCGTACTTGACCGGCACCAGGCTGCGGGCCTTGCTGGCGAAGCTCTCGATGGCCTTTTTGCACTCAAAAGTGAGGAACTCGTCCCTCTTTGGAGAGAGGGGGATGAGCGCATTACAGAAGAAGATGTACCTAAAAAGAGAAGTCAGGTCTTTTGACTGAAAATGGAAACAGTGACTGAACGATTGCTGAGGGGTCATGACTGCTTACTTGTTTCCAAGTTCTTTCTCTTTCACAACAATCTCCTCTACATGCCAGTAAACTTCCCCTTTAACTTTCTTTCCATCTTTGGGCGTGTGGCCCAGGCAGATGGCAGCAATGTCACCCAGATTTTTGGATGAAAACTCAAATTGGTCGACATTTCCCCTGAACAGAAGACACGTAAATTAGCTTAAACGGGTAGCTATAATGTCATAGCCACAGTGTGCAGCACAGTGAGTTCAAGAGCTTGTTGCTGGTGGGATTAAAGAGAATTTAGAGGGTGAGGAAGAGCATTTCTTGGAGCGTTTCAATGCAAAGAAGCTGTACGTGATTGAGGTGATCTCACAGTAAGTACTTACTGCAGAAACCTCTTCTTCTTTGAAGAGTTCTCCATTACAAATTCCTTTGATCGAGCCTTCTTCCCCTCAAGTACAATCCACACGTTCTCTTTGGTTTCAACTTCTCCGGTCGTGACACTAATCTCATACTCTGTGAAAAGAGACCAGAGTTAGAGGTCCATTTGGACTAAATAAACCAAACATTTAGCACGAGTGATGTAACGAAGCTCACTGGTCTTCTCGCTGAGATCTAAATAGTCATTGTTAGCACAGGGCAGCTCCCTCATTATCTGCCCATCGTCATCGTTCTTGGAAAGCCAGCGGTCACAAGGAAAACGAAATGTCTTGTCCATAATCTCATCCTTCACATCGATGTGTTCCAAGTGCCAACCTGGAGCAGGGCCTGTCAGGTGACATCACTTCATAAAGCAAGCTTTTGATCATTTTTCTGTAACCATTTAAGAGCAAATTAGAAATGTAAACCTGTTTGTTTGAGTTTAAACTACTCCTTTACATTTGAAATGTTTTGAATTTTTGATTGTAGCATGATATTTTACTGAATTTGCCTTTTAATTTTAGTTTTATGTATCTTGTATTATACCTCTGTTGTGTCATCCTAACTAAATCTGTTTACAAAGCCTCAAATGAAAGGAAATTTGAAGTTTATTAAAATAGCTAATGGTAACTAAATCTATGGCTTAAATTCTGTCATATGATTGATCTTTTCTATCAAGATTTTTTTAAATATACAATCTCAGTCAGCTTCACTGAGTCACTGACCTGTGTTGTCGTGCCAGACTCGCACTTTGGACAGGTCTCCCAGACTGAGCACATCAGCAAATCGAAATGTGTCCACCTGCTTGCGTTCAAATTTGTTGGACTTGTTGCTGTCCTTCAGCACCAGGGTTCCTGTGTCGCCGTTCTCCCCAAAAACAATCAGCCACACGTTGGCGTCTGTGCCAGCCGCTGTTAAGGCAAAAAAAAGGACATTTCTCATTTAGGAAATCAAAGCTAAATCTGTCCAACTTACAGTAAAGAATTTTTTTAAAGCATAAAAAATGAATGCTTCATGGAATGATATACTGTAAATATGAAAGAGGATATGGGTCACAGAGCCAAAGAAAAGTTTTGTTTCTGAGTTCAGACTTTAATCTCAGAATTTTGACTTTTTTCCAATTCTGAAAACAAAAGTCAGTATTCTGGCATTTTTTCTAAAATTTGGACTTTATCTCAGAAATTTGAGGGGAAAAAAACAGACTCAGGAACAAAAGAAGTTGTTTGGCTCTGTGACCCTAATTCTTTTACAACCCCAATCCTGCCATCCAAGCCATGTCTTTTTCAGGGACATCCCTGCTTATTTCAGCAAGACAATGCCAAGCCACATTCTGCATGCGTTACAACAGAGTCCGTCTGTACGTTTTCTTCCACTTATCTGGGGTCGGGTTGCGTAGGCAGCAGCCTAAGCAGAGAGACCCAGACCTCCCTCTCCCCAGTCACTTGGGCCAGCTCATCCAGGGGAATCTCAAGCCGTTCCCAGGCCAGCCGAGAGACATAGTCCCTCCAGCGTGTCCTGGGTCTTCCTCTGGGCCTCCTCCCAGCGAGACGTGCCCAGAACACCTCACCAGGGAGGCGTCCAGGAGGCATCCTAACCAGATGCCCGAGCCACCTCAACTGGCTCCTCTCAATGTGGAGGAGCAGTGGCTCTGCTCTGAGTCCCTCCTGGATGACTGAGCTTCTCAGCCTATTTCTAAGGGAGCGCCCAGACACCCTGCAGAGGAAGCTCATTTTGGCCACTTGTATCCACGATCTCATTCTTTCGGTCACTACCCAAAGCTCGTGACTATAGATGAGGGTAGAAACGTAGGCCGACTGGTAAACCGAGAGATTTGCCTTCTGGCTCAGCTCTCTTCACCATGACAGACCGGTACAGCGCCCGCATCACTGCAGATGCAGCACCAACCCGCCTGTCGATCTCCCGCTGTATTCTTCCCTCATTCGTGAACAAGACCCCAAGATACTGAAACTCCTCCACTTGGGGCAGGACCTCCTCCCCAACCCGGAGGTGGCACGCTACTGGTTTCCGGCTCAAGACCATGGGCTCAGATTTGGAGGCACTGATCCTCATCCCGGCTGCTTCACATTCAGCTGAGAACTGCTTCAGCGAGAGCTGGAGATCACGATCTGATGAAGCCAACAGGACCACATCATCCACAAAAAGCAAAGATGAGATCCTAAGGCCACCAAAACGGATCCCCTCAACACCTTGGCTGTGCCTAGAAATTCTCTCCATAAAAGTTATGAACAGAATCGGTGACAAAGGGCAACCTTGGCAGAGTCCAACTCTCACCAGAAATGTGTCCGACTTGCTACCAGCAATGCGGACCAAGCTCTGGCACCAGTCGTACAGGGACCTGACAGCCTGTATCAATGGACCTGGTACCCCATACTCCCAAAGTACCCCACACAGGAGTCCCCAAGGGACATGGTCGAACACCTTCTCCAAGTCCACAAAACACATGTAGACTGGTTGAGCGAACTCCCATGCACCCTTCAGGACCCTGCTGAGGGTGTAGAGCTGGTTACAACAGAGTGTGTTGTTAAAAGGAAAGCTAATGACACAATGATTTCCAAATCATTAAATTCTGGTTTTATTTATGTTTTACACAGTCCCAACTTCATTGGAATTGCGATTGAATATAAACAATTATAAAACTTTAAATTAGTATTTTAAAGGTTGCAAATTTTTTAGTCTTTGCTTTTTCATAAACAATAAAAGTCACAAAATATGCTATTTATGTAATTAATGTTAGATCTAAAATGTTTTTTCCTCACAGATGTGTACATATCTAGTAATGTGTATATATGCAAATCCTGTTCACAGTATACATGATATAAATAATATAAGTTCGCCATTACCAGATGCATAAAATTGCCAGTGAAAACTCATTTGCATGCATGAGTCTGTACGTGTGTCAATCAGCCTGGCTCGTTTTTTTTTTTCCTTCCGGAGCCTGAGCTTTTGGCTGCCTCTTAGCTTCTAGGAAGTGCCAGAGGCAGAGAGCGGTCTTTTGAAGTCAGCTCAGACTCCTCGGCCACGCAATCAAATTGGTCAGAATCGCAAGTGAGACGATACTGCAGGAAGAAAAGATGAAGCGGGGAGTGTGAAAGATTTTGTGGGGACGAGTTCTTTCATTACTGAGCAGGAATCAAACATCAGGGGTTTTTTTCACCCCGCTCCTGCAGGAAAACAAATCAAAACAAAAAAACCTCTGTACAAAGATAAATCCAATGAGGCTTAGAGACATGAACATCTCAAATGAAAAGCATGAGGCCAAATGTTTAGTCATCTGTCCTAGTTAGCTCTCTTGCTTGCTGTAAGGATGTGAGATGTTCACTGATCAGAAGGTGCTTCAGTTCCGTTTGAAACTGCTGGGAAAAGAAACAGACACACTCGACATGGTGTCTGTGTTAACAGAGACCCTCAGGACCTTCCAGGCAGGACTAAGGGGGCTGATTTTAGCAATGAAAGAAGTTGTCTCAGCAGCTCCACTCAGTTTGAACAACTCAGGAATTGACCCACCACTGACCCGAAGATGAAAGGCTGGTTGGATGGATGACGGTATGCTTGACAGGTAGACCTGAAATGGCCTCATTTTCCCGCTGCCTTTGAACCTGTTTTTCCCTCATGGGTCCCAACAACATTTTAAAATAAGGGTGGTCCCCAGAGAGTCTTTAATATTTTATTCATTGTGTGATTAAACATGGAGCCTCTGTAGATCAGAGGGTGTTTTGTTCAAGCCTGGAACTTCAGATTTGCTATGAGGATTTTGAGTAACTGCAGTCAGAAAGTTTTTTTTCAAAGAATCAATGATTTATATTGTACTGCAGATAAGGAATTTTATATATTTTGATAATTACTTTAAATCCCCCTAATGTGTTTAATTAGGAAAATCTGTTTCTTGCCTCTTTGCTTGAGACAAATGACATTTTACACCTGTGGACTTACCTGCAACATCACTGGTCTTGACCTGGATGGTGTAGGTGGTGAGCTCCACCATGACCTCCTCATCCACCACAGCGGGCATCTCGCAGGTCATGGTCCTCTTGGGTCCTTGTGTTCTTGACAGCCACTCCTCATAAGTGAACATAGACACTTCCTCTGTGGTCAGGTTCCGCATAATCACCTGAAAATAAATAAATAAATAAATAAATAAATAAATAAATAAATAAATAAATAAATAAATAAATAAATAAATAAATAAATAAGAACAAGAAGCTGCTTTTGAAACATTCTCTGTAAAAATCCCAGTTAAAAGAGACATGCCACGTTTTAAAATCTTTCTTTATCACATGTAAACCATTCAGTTTAGGTCTATATGTGTAACTGTAATGCTTTGGTCTGAATTCCACCTTATTGTAACTCCACAAGCCCCTCTTTCACCTCTGTACTGAGGTGTGTCTCAGATCAATTCGTTTTGAGTCTGTCTCTTTAAATCCAAATAATGTGCTTCACCCAAATGTTTTTTTTTTCATGATATGTCCCCTTTTGATTGATTTTAAGATGAACTGTCAGTCAAATCATTGAAAAAAAAATACTGTCCTTATTTTGTCCTCTTCTTGGTTCTGGAAAACATTTAATTTTCAAACAAAGCAATTAGCTTGTGCAGAGTTATTTGGACTGATTATGATGCTGGATGTCGGCCCGGCTCACCGTTGACTTCATTTCAACACACATAGCCAGAAATCCACAAAGGCAGAATGTCTACTTGTGATGCTGAACACAGAAGGCACTTTGCAGGATCGAGTCAAGAAGATGTTCACAGTCACCGAGTCCTGCAGGCGCACGGTGGACGGGGGCTTTGATCGCCGCTGTCCGCTCGGCTGCCCTGCAAGCGCCGCGCTTTCGCCGGAGATGACATTAGCATAGGAAATGTGTCCCCTTTCATCAAAGCTTTCTGCCTGAAACTTCCGATTGAATGTGGAAGTGAGCACTGACGGTGTCCTGGCGGGGTCATTTCAAGAGAAAACCCATTTCTGGCTGATGTACTGATGCTGCAAATTATGATAGCAGGGCAGGATGTGATATATCTAACGGACACCTGTGATGAAATGCTATCAGTGTGTACGTCCAAGCAATAATGGTGTGTGTTGGTGAGTCCTGCAACAACATCAGAGTAAATAAAGAAGAAGTCAATATGCTTTGGTCCCACTGTGTTTGTGTGTGTGTGTTTGTGGAAGACTGAATCATTTACCACTCTCCTGCCGTGTTTGTCTCTGTAATATAACAGACTGAATGGTCCTGTGACCTACAGCATGCAGTTTCAGGACAAAAACACAGAACTGTTTTGTATTATTGATTTTCTAGGAAGCCATCAACAACTGTTCTGCTTTTATGCCTTTTTATGTATTTCATTTGTATATGAAATCTGTAGTTCTTCAAAGCCAATTGGCCCATGACGTATTCCTGTCAATACATTCTGCTGTAATTCCTCCCAGGTGTTTTCTTGTAAGGATTTTCTGAACAAGCGTGTGAGTTCTATGATGTTAAGCCCACCTTATCTAGAAACCAGTCAGGTCGACTTCCAGATCCGTCGATTCGAAGTCTCAGCTTTCTCAGCGGTTCTATGTCGTCAACCTCCATGTTGAACGTGTCCTCCTGCCCACGTTCGAACCTGTCATCCACCACAAACAATACAAAGTTTATGATCCAGAGCTTCGTTTTATGTTTTACAGCCAGGAGTTGTAATTAAAAATGGAAAAGAAAACACTTCGGTTCACCTGTCCTCATTCTTCTCCAGCAACATTTCCTCTGTGCTGCCGTTGGCACCGAACACAGACATGAAGATCCTGGTGTCTGTTCCTGCGTTCTGAACGTCTCCTGTCACCACCGTTACCTCGTATATAATCTAAAAACAAAAAAATGATTGACATTATCTTCACACAACTATTCCCAAAAAGCAGTGTTTGGTGTTTATTTAGTTATTTCTAAAGGTAATAAGTGATTTGGTGGGACTATTGAAAATTATTGACTTTTAAAAAAATCCTCATTATTACAACACTGACTAGCCTGGTAAAAACCAGCCCCTTGTCCTACACTTTGCTTCATACAGAGGGTCTGGACCCTCAGCTATTGAGAAATGATTTCTTGCTGGAGGTGTGGACTTTAAAGTTTAAAACAATTGGATCTGATTTACCCAGTCACTAATGTTTAGCCATGACATACATATGTGGTCAACCAGCTCGACCGTGAAGGAAGCTAAGTCAGCTAAGAAGCTAACTTCTTACCTGCGCTGTTATCAACCATCTGCTACTGGAAAGAGAGAAGTACCGAGACAAACGAGATGGCTGTAAATGAGTGCTGCAGGCTTTGTGAGACAAATTTATTTAATTTGGAAGCTTTGTCAACACGGACTGAATGGCTTCATTCACTTCCTCCACTGCCTTTGCTAAACTACAGGCAGACTAAAATGACGCAGAAAATCGATGTCATCGTTCACAACACCTCCTTCTGTTCGCTGATTGGCCTGGTTAAAATTCTCCCGAAGAAATCCTTGTCTATGGGAGAAATCCCAGATGGAGCAGTGAAGGGAAACTAGAATTGAACTGCATAGGAAGGCAAGGGCCAGGCTAAATACTGACAGAAGTATGAAAAATAGCAGTAAAACAAGATAAACTCCTTACTTATTATCTTTAAAAGCTTCGGTTAATCAGTTATTATCTGCATGAAATGTCTAATTAGATGTTTGGAAGTGGACCAATACAGAAAATGAATGACCAAAATAATATTTTACTATAAAAAGTAGCAAAAGGCTTGTTAAAAGTGTCAAAAGGCTCTAAAGTAAAGTAGCTAAATACTGTATTATATAGAAGCTAAAAGTAGCCAAAGACTTAGTATCTAAAGCTACAGGTTAGAAGAAGAAGAAGAAAACAAAAGTAGAATAAGTATGCTGAAACAGATTACAAAGAGAACAATGAAATTTTAATGCAATAAGAAAAAATATTTGTAAAATTAAATATAAAAAAACTTATAAAAGGTACACTGCAAAAACTATCTTACAAAGTTTTAAAATCTTATATCCAGCCAAAAAGTCTTTTTGATCTTGTTTTGAGACTGATTTACTAAACAAGAACTGATTGTGTAAGAATAATCATC